AGAAATCTTTAAATAACTTTTCTTGTTAAATATTGGCCTAAGGCTTTTCTGCCAAAGTTATTAAAGGTATGCCATAAAGCATACATAACCAAGTTAATGTTGCTGTAGGAACCTTTTTTTTTAAATACTTATTTATTTTTTAGTTTTCGGTGGACACAACATCTTTATTTTATTTGTATGTGGTGCTGAGGATCGAACCCAGCGCCTTGCGCATGTCAAGCGAGCGCGCTACCGCTTGAGCCACACCCCCAGCCCATCTGTAGGAACCTTATCTTTGGAATTTCCTGACATTTGAGGATTTCTCATTTTCCATTTTAAGACTGAAAGCATGAATCCTTGCATTTAATTTCCTGAGGCTTTAGAGAAATGAAGAAAGAAGAGCAAAGAAAGGGAGAAAGAGGGAGGGAGAAAGGAAGAAGAGAGAAGAGTAGAAAGAAGGGGAAGAGAAAGAAAAGGCAAAGAAAAACACATTTTCTCAAACTGAGGATCTGAACCCACTAGTCTGGCTCTTGATGAGGTGTACTAATTGGCCAGTGAAAATAAGCTGGATACAATGTCTAAAGCTCACAGCTTAGCTGTGTAACTCTAAACCCTCAGAACCTCAAAATCCTTAATCATTTCTTTCTCCAGCCTTGGCTTGGCTTTCCTGCCACAGAGAAGGCAGCAAATCTGCCAAGTGCATGGTCGAGGCTTTTTTTTTTTAAGAGATAGGACCACAAAAAAGAGCATTCTTTACCCTCCTTTTTTAAAGAATAGAAAATGAACATCTTGACCTAACCACCTCCATTATACTATGTTAAACAAAATGAAAAACCTACAGCCAAAATTCTTAAAACACAGCTGATGCAACCATATTCAAACTGGCCAAGAAAAATTTCATCTTTGGACTGAAACTAAGTAACTTTAGCTGGTTATAAAGAAAATGCTGAAAGACTGAAAACAGCAGATGGTAGCTGAGGGAGAAAAGATAGTGGGAATAACTATTTACCAGGACGATTTGTCTGCCCAAATGAAAGTTTCCAGTTTACCAGAACCAACCTGCCCCTGGGGAGTGAGGCCCCTTGGAGGAACAGCCCCAAAATGCCACAGAAGCACTACATGGGAAGTCACAGACCAGGAGCAAGAAAAGTCAGGACACTATCAAGGAAGCTGGGCTTTGGTGCTGGTTTGGGAAAGGATGTAGAACTGGGAGTTGGAGGGCTGGGGTGTAGCTCAGTCAAGCTTAACACATAGGAGCCCCTGGGTTCAATTTCTATCATCAAACCTAGTTCCCCTCCCGAAAAAAAGAACTGTAGAAGGATTCCAAACATAAAGAAGGAAGCCTCTAAATTCTACATGTCATCAGGGGTAAACCTAAATAGACCCTCTAACTTTATTTGCTCTTAGTTGATTTAAAAATCACCAATTTCAGAGGTCACAAGGTTGGGCAATAAATTATTAGTCTCCCAATAGCTTTTTTTTTCCCCCCCACACTCTGACCTGGGGTTATGATGATAATGGTTGCCAAGGTTACCCTTTAGGAATGAATGTGAAGGCCATTTGCTGAAAACAGTGACTCTTCACTTGGGTCCTCAGAGGTTCCACGGTGACTGGAACAGGATGAAAATGCTTGGCATCTGTCTTCATGTTGCACATCTCCGTTGCTCCCCTAACCTTTGGGTCAGATTCTATTCAGTTCTGCATATGGACATGTGACCATCTGAGACATGTTTTATCCAGAGCTATAATGTAGGGTTAACTTGACCTAGACTTGCCCAGTCTCTCTCTTAACCTACTTCAAGGCTGACAACTCTTACCAGTCACCATGACTGGAAATGCCAGACCATGAAATGAGTAAAGAGATGGCACCTGAGTTCCTGAAGATCTCCAGCTATTCTGAGAAAAGACAAGAATTTTCCTCACCTTTATTAGCCTGTCCCTCTCCCTCATTTTTCCTATACTATAACCGCCCACCCCTTGAAGAGAAGAAACTGATTTGTGAGCAAAGCTCCCTCTTCATTCTTTGGCCACTGAATCAACCTTTCTTTTTCCCCAACACTCATCTCTTGGACATTGGATATTTCATGGGATGAGTTTCTAAGTACAGACCTAACATACACTGGTACCAAAGCCTGATAAAGGTAGTACAATAAAGGCCTTTATTGACCAGTCTCCAATATGGAATACTAGTACAAAAACCTTAGAATATCACCAAATGGGCAGGGTACAGTGGCACATTTCAAGGCCAACCTGGGAAACTTAGCAAGACTGTCTCAAAATAAAATTTTAAAAAGGGCTGGGATGTAGCTCAGTGACAGAGCAATTCCCTAGAATATGCAGGGGCCTGGGTTCCAACCTGGTACCAAAAAATAAAAAAATAAAAATAAAAATAAATAAAAGGTATTTCTTTAAAGTGTCTTTTAAAAATATAATATACATTATAAATAGTTTCCAGGCCCTCTAATGAGAAAAAAATTTCATTAATAATTGCAAGAAAAAGATAAAACATTTATGAATAAACTCAGCAAATGCACAGAACTGCAATTAAATACAAGCATATTTTTTGTGTGAAATTTGATAGTGATATAGAGAATATTTTGATAAATACATGCAAGAATTGTCAAGACATTTTTGAAAAATAATAAGGAAATAAATAGATTTATAATTATTAAAAAAACCCTATGAAGTGGATACTATAATTATCACCATTTTACAGATGAGCAAAATGAGACCAATGCAAATTTAGTGGTTTGTACAGTGCCACCCAGCTAATAAGTAGCACAACTAGTAAGTACTCTGGTTTTAGAGTCCTCTCTAATACTATATGCTGCATAATACAGTATTATACGCCACCTGGGAACAACCTAAGTGTCCATCATTAGGGGAATGGATAAATAAAATAAGTTTATCAACATGCTAGAAAGAATGTGGTAGTTAAAAAAAGGAAGGTAGTGCTGGATGTGGTGGCACATGCCTGTAATCCCAGTAACTTAGGAGGCTGAGAAAGGGTCACAAGTTTGAGGCCAGCTTCAGCAAGACCCTGTCTCAAAATTATACATAAAAAAGTCTGGGGATGTAGCTCAGTGGTAAAGCACCTCCGGGTTCAATCCCTGGTACACCTCCCACCCCCCAAAACAGAAAGGTGGTAACACTGAAAGAGCTCAATGATACACTAAATAAAAAATGATATATAGGGGCTCCGGTTATGGCTCAGTGGTAGAGCGCTTGTCTAGCATGTGTGAGGCCCTGGGTTCGATCCTCAGCACCAAATAAAAATCATTTTTTTTAATTTATAAAAATAAATAAATAAAAAATAAAGGTATTGTTCCAACTACAACTAAAAAATAAATATAAATATTTTTAAAAATGGTATATGCAGCATGATTTCATTTTTAAAAGGAAATAATTTATGTAAATATATAAAATTTTAGAATATGAAATTATTCTTCCTTGGAAGAGAACATAAGAAGTTATATTATTTGAAGGTAAGAGACTCCTACCTGACAGACCACATTGAGTGGGGGAGTGACATGATCTATATATATTTTTTGGAAGACTCCTCTGACTGCTGAGGGAGGAATATCCTGGGGGTGGGCAGTGGATCCAAAGTTATTAAAGGGGTAGCAATGGAGGAGATGTAGTCAGATGCAAGTTAAAGTTCTAAAACCAGAACTGAAGGACTTGTTGATGAATTAGATAGGGTGTGTGAAAGAAAAGATCAAAGAAGACTCCTGGCTCTTTGGTCTAAGAATTAAATGAAAGGTAATGCCATTTAACAAGATGACGATTAGTTTGGGAGGTGGTCTGAATTGGAATATAGGATGGGACATGTTAAATCCCAACTATCACACAACCAAATGTAGACCCAAGCATAAGATGACTACACAAACCTGAAGCTGAGAGGAGTCAGGGCTTGAGATCTAAATTTGGGAATCGTAAGCATGTAATTGACATTAAAGTGATGGAATTGGATGAGATCACTTAAAGTGTGGAGGGAGATGAAGGAGAGAAGTCTGATCCTAGTGTGCTCCTGGTTTGGAGTGTGGGGGCTTAAGAGAAGGAGTGCTATCCTGACTTGTAGAAGGAGAGAAGCCAGAGAAGAGGACTTCCCGGTCAGCAGGGAAGTGGCTGACTCAGAAGCCAAGTGAAGACAGTGATTCAAGATGGCGCAAGTCCTCAAATACCAAGAGGGGTCAATTAAGAAAAGATCAGAGAATTCGCAAATTGGACTTACCAAGATGGAAGTTGCCAGTGGCCTTGGGCAAGAACAGCTTCAGGATGAAGTGCCAAAGCCCAAGAGGAGCGGGTGAGGAAAAGGCAGAAGGCAAAGAAGCAAGGACAGTAAGTACAGATAACTGTTTTGAGAAGTTCTGCTCTAAACCTGATTTCTAGGTTAGTGGGTATCAAATCAATTAGAAATGGACCCAAAATTATGTTTCAAAGCAGGAAAAAAATTGTTTCCAAAGAACAGATTTTACTTTTAAGCATCAACATCCTTTATTATTTAACGTCATTTTCATATTATCATATGATGCATCTGTATATATAAATGAGGAAAATAAGGCTTCAAGAAGTAACTTGTTCAAGGTTACAAAGGTAAACAAGAAGCCAAAGTAGCCCCAGACAATGTGCTTCCCAAGCCCACTCCAAGAAGAAACATGAAAGAGAGCTGGAAGATCCAAGTAGATACCAGGTACTACCAGTTAGAAGACTGCAAATTTCTAACAAATTCTTCACTTAACTCTTAGTCACTGACCAATTATAAGACTTTATCACATTTGAAAGGTAATTTTTAAAAGTAAATACTCTTTTTTTTAGGAGAGAGAAGAAATAGAATATGCATGGTAACCACATTTCCAGGTAAATCACCAAACTACCTTATGCTATAAACAGTCTCCAATAACTCCAAGTGAGATCCCTCAACTTAATGTGACAAATAATTAGGCTGAGAACAGGCAGCTGGGATGGGATCTAAGCTACAGCACAGTCACAAAAAGGGGCACCAGCCAGACAGCACCTACCTGTGGTCAGCACTGGGTCTCTGCCTTCCGGTCCAGAGCCTTCTGTTCACAGAGGCAGGAGGCGGGGACGAGGGCAGCGGTGGGGGAGGCAGGGAAGGCAGGGGTGGCAGGTTTCTTTTCTCTTTCCTGAAGCCAACGCCTGGGTTCCCATCCTTGTCTCCCTCTCCGGCATGTTTGAATGTTCTCCGGGGTTTGGGCAGGGGGTTGATGAAGGGCTTTGTAGAGGACCCCTCTGTAGCCTCAGAGGTGGGCTCCCTGCCCTCTAGATCCAAGTGGTGGCCCCTGTGGCCAGCTTCTACGCCACTCCGGTGGTTCTCAGGAGGCTGGGGCTCCTCCTCTGCCTTGTGAGGCAGGCAGTGTGGGGAATAGCATGTCCCCGGCAACTGGGGATCCAAGCCCGCTGACCCGTCCTTCAATGCCTGCTCCAGTTTCTTGACCTGCTTCAGCACCGAGAGGTGGTCATTCTGGAAGTGTGGCTTCCAGAGCCTCGGCTCCCGGCCTCTGTTCCCACAGGCCTCTGGTTCCCCTTTGAGATGGCCAAGGTCTGGCCTCCTCTCTATGTCCGGACCCCCAACGTTCACTGCCCCTCTCCACCTCTCACTCTCCAGGCTCTCTGTTTCGGGCCTCATTCCATTCTTACCCTCTGCGACCCGAGTTCTCATGACCTCGCTGCTACCTCTCTCCAACATGCAGGATGGCCCGTAATCCTCTTGCTCATCCACTGGCCTGCTGGGTGCTGCAGTGGGCAACTCCTTTTTGCCTTCCCACTCAGATATCTTGTCCTTTATGCTAAAAGCCTTGTGCTGGGCTCCAGCTCGGGTGCAAGGGCGCAGGTTCTGGATACCACCTAGCTGCTTCCTCCCAGCCCTGCTGGCTTCGTTGGGGCCAAGGTCTACAGCTGGGCCACTGATGATCATGTTTGAGCTGAACATGTCCATTCTTGCCTCCAGCATGAGGTTATTTAGGCTTTCCAGGGGGTTCCTTCTGAAGGGAGACTCTCGATCAGTCTTGGGGGAAGGAATGTAGGACTGAAAGAGTTGCCTTAGAGGGGCTTCCCCAATCGTTGGACCTTCCACCTTGACCCTGAGTCAGAAAGACAAACACGGGGTGAGGGATTCTTAATTGTGCCTGGCTGATCATGGAGAGTGACTAGAACTTAGTTACATGCTAGTTTTAAACCATAAACGTTGAGGTCATCATTTAAAAAAAATTACTTTCATGTTCTCTTGGGCAGACAGCATGGTGGAATAAAAGGCAACAATTGGGTTCTGGAGTCGGACAGACTTGGATTTGAATCTTAATTCAACCACTAACCATGGGCAACTTAAATTTAAGTCTGCTAAACTTCAGTTTCCTCACCTGTAAAATGGAGACTATAATAACATGCATCTAATGATGTGGCTATAAACATTTAATGAGCCAGTCCACATAAAGTATCTATCGTGTTATGAGTATACAATAAATGGTGGGGCTGTTATTTTTTTTCCCTGACAAATAACAAGTAACTCTTTCTTTCTCTTTCTCTCTCCCTCCTTAATTCCCTCCCTCCCTCCTTTTCTTCCTTCCTTCTTTCCTTTCTCTTTCATTTACTTATTTTGTGATGTTGACGACTGAATCCAGGGTCTCACACAAACCAGGCAAGTGCTCTACCGCTGAGCCACTCCTAGCCCCTACAGTAATTTCATGAGGAAAAGATTATATAGTTCAAGTTTTCCTTGCTTTTTTTTAAAAATTTTTTTTTAGTTGTTGATAGACATTTTAAAAATTTATTTATTTTTAATGTGGTGCTGAGGATCAAACCCAGTGCCTTGCACATGCTAGGCAAGCGCTCTACCACTGAGCCCCAGCCCATCCTTGCTTTCTTTCTTTTTTAAAAAAAATTTATTTATTTTTAGTTTTCGGCGGACACCATATCTTTGTTTGTATGTGATGCTGAGGATCGAACTCTGCCGCACACATGCCAGGCGAGCCACATCCCCAGCCCCATCCTTGCTTTCTTATTCTTATTTTTTACAATGACTATTTAAAAACTGAAAGAGGCCAGGTATAGTGGTGCACACCTTGTGATCACAGCACCACAGGAGTGTAAGGCAGGAGGATCACAAGTTCAAGGCCAGCCATAGCAACTTAGCAAGACCCTCAGCAACTTAGGGACCCACCTCTCCACCCCCTCACCCCCATCTCAAAATATAAAATAAAAGGACTGCCAGGCATGGTGGCACATGCCTGTAATACCAGTGGCTCGGGAGGCTGAGGCAGGAGGATAGCAAGTTCAAAGCCGGCCTCGGCAAAAGGCAAGGTGCTAAGAAACTCAGTGACCCTGTCTCTAAATAAAATATAAAACAAGGCTAGGGATGTGGCTCAGTGGTTGAGCGCGCCTGAGTTCAATCGATACCCCAAAAAATAGAAATAAAAATAAAATGACTGGGGATATGGCTCAGTGGTTAAATGCCCCTGTTCCATTCCCAAGTACCCAAAAATTGAACAATAAGTCACAAAGCTTTGCTAATTCTGGGCTTGATACTATCCTGAGTTGAGTGGGTAAAGCCATGATGAGTTGGGTGTACTTGGAATGAGCCTCCTATGGACTGTGAGCCCTACTGGGGTGAACTTTCACCAAGGGCAGTGAAAATGCTTTGTTGTTTAGGCCTATTTTTGCTACTGCTGCTCCCCTGGTACCTAAAACAACACTGGCACAGCAGGTAGCCAATAAATATCTGCTACATAAACGAATGTCTGCATAAATAGGCAGATCTGAATTTTACACATGGCCTAGAAATGCACTGTCCAGTATACTCGCCACTAGCCACATGTGGATATTTAAACTTAAATCCAATTAAATTAAATTCTGTCCCTTAGTTGCATCAGCCACAAGTCAAGTACTCTCAGTAGCCCAGTGTAGCTAATGGCTCTGTAGTGGGCAGAGCAGAAGAATGAACATCTCCACAGTGGCAGACATTGACTATCCCCTAGTCATACACGTGGGGATATAAACCTCCAAGTGTGATCTGAGGAGATTAGATAATGCCATGAAGATGCTAGAAAATACTTTGAAAGAAAAACATTTTTAAGCTCATCTCAGAATATATGTGTTTTGAAATACAAAACATTCTTCCACCAGCAAAGGTTACAAAACCAAACACAGTGATCTTAGAGGTGCTGAAATTAGTGAACATTCATGGACCAGCCTCATGGGCACATTTTCTAAATATTCATAAATCTGACTGTATAGGGATCCTGAGACTCCATGAAGGTTCACAGTAAGGGATGAATAATCAGCAGTTTCATGCATGCTGTTACTATAACTGTTCATTCCAAAGACTAACAGTTGTTCATGTAAAAACTTGTCCCTCAATGGAGACACTGGCATACAAATTATGCTGGTGTTCTTGGTTACACAGCATAAATTAGAAACTTGTGAAAATGCAAACACATTTTCCATGGATATGAAAGCAGAATTCCTTATTTAAATAAACAATTAGTATTCATAACAGAGTGCTTACAAAAGAGAAAAACATTTTAAATTGTTCTGTCAACACTAATGACATTAACATGAATTCAGATTTTAGAATCACAATCAGACCATTGCTATTTTACTGAGGGCTCAAAAGGCAGAATCCCTGCTCTTATGATGCCAGAAGCAAGATGTAATGAGAGGACAGACACACAAAAACACAATTAGGGTTAGTGCATGCTTGGCAACAAGTGATGATAGAATATATAACCATCATGTGCTACTGAGCAATACTGAACAGTAGATAAATACATGGGTTTTACAGTCAGTAGAATTTAGGTTTCAGTCTTGCTCCATTTTTTTTTTTTTTTTTTTATATTCTTAAAATAGAGTTCTGCAGGGCATAGTGGTACAAGCCTGTAATCCTAGCACCTTGGGAGGCAGGAGGATTAAAAGTTCAAAACCTTGGGCTGGGGTTGTAGCTCAGGGGTAATATGCTTGCCTAGCACATGTGAGCACTGGGTTCAATCCTCAGCACCACATAAAAATAAATAAATAAAGGAAAGGTAATGTGTACATCTACAACTAGAAAACATTTTTTAAAATTATAAAAAAGAAAAAAAAAGAAAGAAAAGTTCAAAGACTGCCCCAGCAACCTAACGAGACCCTAAGCAACTTAGTGAAACCCTGTCTCAAAATAAAATATAAAAAGGACCAGGGATGTGGCTCAGTGGTTAAGTGCCCCTGGGTTCAACCCCCAGAGTACCAAAAAAAAAAAAAAAAAAAAGAATCCTATCTCCTTTCTCTAGATTGGAACTTTCTGACTGCAGAGGCCAAACTGATCTTGTTTACTGTTCCTGGTACATAGCAGGCAATCAGTAAATATGTATTCAGTCAATGAATGAATAAATGAATGGCTAAGTTAATATACACAATGTTCCCAGAGTACAGCAGACATTATAAATCTTGATATCAATAGGGGCAACTGTGTCATTATAATCATTCCATTTGTTATATAAGATCCCAAACACCCGGAGTGACTTGACAGTCACTGAGGCCCTAGCTGGACTCTGAGAAGGAACACAGCATGGTTTGTCAGAAGCGCTCTTTGATTTTATTAAGCTCAAGCAAAGCAGGCAAAGGTGGTGAAACCATTTCAAGTATCCCTAAAGACAGTGCCTTTTTCATGTGGTTGTTACACTCAAGAGTTTCTAGAGTTCCTGTTTTCAGGATTCTGCCATCCCAAAATGAGCTTGGGTCTGTGGTGCAAGCTGTGACCAGCTCAGTGATTGCCAAATGCTTTGCAGAACGTGCCAGAGTATCAGAGAAAAAAGCTCTGGGAGTAGGAAACCAATATGCTGATATAAGATGGGGAAGACACAGCTGCAAAGATTTAGGGTTCAAAGATAAGTGAAATACTTCCACATCCTAGTACTCAGAAAAATAACCCCTGGCCTGAAGTGCATAATGGTGTCATGTTCTGAAGTCACCACAACATACCGGGCACCAGTCAGACTTCTCTTGACCACTTGGCTTGGGTCTGAGTCTTATTTATTTATTTGTATGTGGTGCTGAGAATCGAACCCAGTGCCTCATGCATGCTAGGCAAGCGCTCTACCCTTGAGCCATAATCCCAGCCCCTGGTCTGAGTCTTGAGTGCAGTGCAGGGAGATGATTTATGGGAGGCTCACCTGGAGTGACTTGTCAGTCACTGAGGCCCTAGCTGGACTCTGAGAAGGAACACAGCATGGTTTGTCAGAAGCGCTCTTTGGATTTAACTGAACCTACTCAGCTCAAGGAAGCGGTGTCAGTGAGGAGGAAAGGTGGTGGAAAAAGGAAGGAGACCAAGAGCAAGCTCTCAGTTGGGGGTGTGTGAGATGGTGGTTCTTACTTGTCAGCCAATCTGTAGCTCAGGTTTGCAGTCTGGCTCTGGCTGCCCTTGGCTGGCCTGCACACTGTCATCATGTCAGCAATGAGAGGAACTCCAGGTGGTCTGGGGGAACAGGGATGCACACTCAGTGAGCCCTGCCAGCCAGGCCACCCTCCCAGGGAAGCAGATCTCTGGCCCACATTCCACACTATTTATCCCTGACAGATTCCACCCAGGAGTGGGGACAAGAGGAATGTGCCGTTCAAAATTCCCACCCCAGGAGAAACAATGTTGAGACTACCCAGTCTCAGATCCCCTACCAACCTCCTTATATGCATCTTTTAGCCAATGTAATCAACAAATTTAGGAAAACATATAGTAGCCTCCCCATATCCAAGGGGGATATGTTCCAAAACCCCCAGTTGATGCCTAAAACTACAGTTACTATGGAACCCTATGTAAACAGTTTTTTCTTTTACCTACATACCTATGATAAAGTTTAATTTAAAATTAGGCACAGTGAGATATTACAAATAATAACTAATAATAAAAGAGAACAATATGTTGTAATAAAATTTATATGAATATCATCTCTCTCTCAAAATATCTCACTGCACTTACTAGATTTTGGGACCATGGTTGACCAGGTGGGTGACTAAAACCATGGAAAGTAAAACCTGTGGGATGACTGGAACCTTAGAAAGCCAAATTTAAATATAACACAACTGGGTGCTAAGAACCACTGTGATGAGCTAACAGTCCCCAAAGAAGAGTATAAATAAAGCCCACACCAAAATGGAAATCTCTCCACTGGGCTACTCTACTCTTCTGGCCTGATGGTTCATGTAAACCCACACACGCCTTGTCCATGGAGTCCCACCAGGAGAGTGTCTCCCAGCTGTCTCAACCAAGGAGGAGAAACCCCTGGTCACTAGTCATCTGTCTTGTCCAAGGAAAACTAGGAGGTCATCTTAGCAATCCTAAAAATAAAAAAAAAGATCAAGTGGAAGCCAAAGAAGAGGTGTCTTACACTAAATAAACTCAAGTAACTGACTTGCTGATTTCTACAGCAAGTCTCTTGACTCCAACACAGGTAGACATTACTCCGGTAGAGGTGGCGAGAAAGATGACATCCACCAGAGAAAGGCAGTAAGATGAGTTATGAGTTTCTGGAAAGCACAAACACCTCAGAGCCAGTCTCTCCTGATGGACAGGAGCTACCTTCTTGACTACAGTCCAAGGAGCACTGAGAGACTGGGGATTCATGTTCCTTTTCCAGGGAACTTCCAGGGAATCCCTCTCCCAACTTCTTCTAAAGTTTCCAAGACTTCTATCCTCTCCCATGCTGGCATACATGTCAGGTGACAAGGTAGCTGCCCAATGTTCTGGCCTGGCCACCTCTGCCTCCAAGAAATCAAAGGGCGGAGCTTTAAGACCTGCACATAACTCTTGGGAAGGTCAGAGAGGAAAAGACAAAGAAATAAGTGAACATGGGCTGTACACTAGAAAACAGGAGGCAGGGAGCCCTGAGCTGAACAACTAGGACTGGGACAGTCAGCTTTACCAAATTGGATGGGTTTGGAGAGGGGATGAAGCTATGGCCTGCCCATGAGTTCAGATGTCCCCTTACTCAGAAACTCTGGAGCACCGTACATTCTGGAATACATCTGTGTTGTAACTAAGCCCAGTTCTTGGAAGAAGCCAGGCTCTCGGGCTCACCCATCCTATGATGCAGGAGAGCCCTGAAAGGCCTTTCAGGGACAGGAAGGAACTCACTGTCCCTCTCATAATGCTTGGCACAGATGAGACTTCTGGAGCCTCCCAATGTAGTGGGCCCACAGACAGTGCCCTTCTGTCCTCTTCTGGCAGAGGGCCACATGGGACAGCAAGGGAGCAGCCACTCTACACCCCTGCTCCTTGCTCTCCATGGGCTGCACTCTGGCTCCACACAGACCAAGTTCTGTTCCATGTGAGTGAGGACTTTCCACCTACCCTCTTCCTTCAAGCTGACACCCTCATCACCAGCACCATGACTAGGGCCAGGCTATGTGTAAGCGCTCTGGGAACTCAAAGATGAGTAAGGCTGAGCCTCTGTTCTCTGGGAGAGTACCAGGACTGTGCTTGGGTCACCATCAGGCTGTAACCAGGTTCTCATCTCCCTCCAAGGGAACAGTTTCCCTACTCATCTCAGGAAGCAGAGCTTTTCCAAAAGAAAAGCCCACTGTCTAATGCACAGAGAACCACATATGAACTTCAAGATTAAGACCACAAGAAGCACTTAACCGCCAAACACATGGTGCTGAATGAACTAGCTTCCCATCGGGTAGTAATAACTTCTAGTACTAAAACCACAGGCTCCTGACAAACAACTGATGCTATTTTCTGAGAGCAAGTTCAAGTGGATTTCAGAGGCTGGAAGTCAGGAGGGCACAGAAGCCCTCGCACACTCAGCAATCAGTATACCAACACCTATGAATCCAGAGCTATGGAAGAAGCTGCTTCCATTAAAATTTGACTTTTCCTTTTTTGCCTCTGATGATTGACAATCATTAATTAGGTGACAAACCTAGCCTAATTTGCTGAGAGTACTCTGTGACTTCAACTACTGCCACAAACATTACTATCATTTATAGTCTAGATGATGGAGCCATTTCTCAAAGTAGGGTCCACTAGGGATCTGTTCCGTTAACCTGGAAACCCTGGCAGACATGAAAATTCTTAGGCACTTCTTTTATGTACCAAAACGAATTGTCTGGAGGCTGGTCTGGAATCTTAAATATGGTAAATCAAAAGTCTTAGCCAGGCGCAGTGACACAGGCCTGTAATCCCAGAGATTCAGAAGGCAGGAGGGTTACAAATTCAAGACCAGCCTCAGCAACTTAGGAAGACCCTGCCTCAAAGTAGAAAAAGAAAAATAGTCGGGCATGGTGGCGCCCACCTGTAATCCCAGTGGCTCAGGAGGCTGAGGAAGGAAGATCGTGAGTTCAAAGCCAGCCTCAGCAACAGTGAGGCGCTGAGCAACTCGGTAAGACCCTGTCTCTAAATTAAAAAAATACAAGGGGCTGGGGTTGTGGCTCAGTGGTAGAGCGCTTGCCTTGAATGTGTGAGGCACTGGGTTCGATTCTCAGTACCACAAATAAATAAAAAATAAAGGCCCATCAACAACTAAAATGAATAAAATAAGTAATTTAAAAAAAAAATAGGGCTGGGGATGTGGCTCAGTGGCCCAGTGCCCTGAATTCAATCTCTGGCACCGCCTCCACCCAAAAATAAATAAATAAATAAAATAAAAAAGGGCTGGAGATACGTCTCAGTGGTAAAGCACCTTTGGGTTCAATTCCCAGTTCAAAAAAAAAAAATGTTTTAGAAGATGTTTGCACTACCCAGCATTCTTTATTTATTCCTAGACAATCTGGCTTTGTGATTCAGAATGCTTACCAAGGGGGAGAATGAATGAATGAATGAATGGTAATCACATATTTTCCCACTCAATCGATTTCTATAAAAACAGAACTTCCTGTTAACCAGATGGGCTTAATTATTACTAATAATTTTAATTAGACTTAAAATGTTACAGAAAACTTTGAAGTTAGAGGATGGGTATATAAGAGCTCATATATTTTTGTATGTTTGAACATTTCTTTAAAACTGTCTTAAAAACTGGAGAAAAATATGCTAAATATCTTAAAAATTCTAACATTTATAGCCTATTTATTAGTCAAGTCCTAATCTAATCCTATATCTTCTTGCTAAAGTAAAATCTTTACTTTAGCAAAGTAAAGATTTTACTTTAGCAAGTACTGTAAAATCTGTAAAATCTTTTCTTGACTCAAAGGTTCTTTTTGGGCCTTGACATCACATTTATTAGAGGGCTTAGGTAAGGTTTAGAAGCCGGGGGAGAGCCTTCCCCTAATTACCTTTAACACTGATGGAGAAAAAGAGGGAGATGGAAATCTCATATGAAATGCTTCTGTCCCGGGTTCAAAAGCTCATGGAAAACTTAATTGCTACAGACTGGCACTGTTAGATTTAAAGAGGAAAAAAATTACTATTTTACAGTTCCTTAAAGTGTTACCCACTTGGCTTAAAGTTCCAGTCTGATCTCTCAATATGCAATTTTCTTTCTTTCCTTATTTATTTATTTCAGTTCTCGGCGGACACAACATCTCTGTTTGTACGTGGTGCTGAGGATGGAACCCGGGCCGCACGCATGCCAGGCGAGCGCGCTACCGCTTGAGCCACATCCCCAGCCCCGCTTTCCTTTTTTTTTTTTTAATATTTATTTTTTAGTTGTAGTTGGACACAATACCTTTATTTTTTTAATGTGGTGCTGAGAGGATCGATCCCAGGGCCTCGCATATGCTAAGTGAGCATTCTACCTCTGAGCCATAACCCTAGCCCTTTCTAAAAGTGACTTCAAGTACTAAAGTGTCAAATACTTCTCTGAAATAGGTGAAGTTTTGTTTTGAATTTTTGTACCAGGGATTGAACTCAGGGCACTTAATCACTGGACCACATCCCCAGACCTTTTTAAATTTTGAGACAGGGTCTCACTAAGTAGATTCAGGGCCTCATTAAATTGTTGAGGCTGGCCTCAAATTTGCAACTCTCCTGCCTCAGCCTCCTGAGTCGCTGGGATTACAGGTGTCCAATGATGAAGATTTTTGAACAGATATAAAGAGCTTCCCTACATATAGCAAGTGACTGATACTAGATCTTTTCCTGAGAGCAGTTCTCACCAAGGGGCTGCAGACCCGCAAGTATCTGAAGGAGAGAAAATCAAGCAGCATCTGGGGAAGGGTGCTGCCCCAGCCTGCTTGCCTGCCTGCCACTTTTCTCCACTGCCATTGGAGGAATCCAGCATAGACACTGTGGAAACAGCAGGTTGTTGAAGCCAACGTGGCCTACAGTGCAAGCAGACCAGAGGGGTGGCTACTCTAGGTCCAAAGCTTAGCCTCGCCCAGTGAGTCTACTTACAATACAGCATTGTTCATATTTATTCTGGCTTTAATTATTCATTATGAATTAAATAGGATGCCTCTAAGATCACACCAACAGTAAGAACATTCTCTGATGGGGTTTAATGGTGACTACCATAAAGGAGTTCATGTATGCTGTACACG